GTTTCTAGTGTTTTAAGCCCGCAGACATACCACTGTGCCGCCCTATGAAAAGTAATTAATTAATAATGTGTGTTTACTACCAATTTCCTGAATAATATCATACAACAATTGTTTTAAAATAAGTTTGTCTAATGATGCATGCATACAATTACGTTAGAAAATATTTTAATTGTGCTTTTTTATCATTAGTTTATAAATAATCTTAGATGTGCATTACTATTAATATTAAAAATGTCCTAATCATTTATGTTTGATTACTTTAGAAATATAAAAAAATTCTCTAAATTGTTTTAACTCTTTTAGCTGATAAACGATACTTGAAAAATAATATTTCTTGACCTACGGTATGGTAACCAGATATACGTATGATATTTTTGGAAATGTACCATCTCCAAACTGGCCGTAATTTATCATTTGAAAGTCTACCAATACTATTTAAAGTATCTAGTAAGTTCTGTGTTCTCTAGTCAAGAGGCCCATAGGGAATTTTAAGGTTCTAATTAGTTTGGAGTCCTTTGTTTCTTTTGTTCCGAGAACTAATCCAGTTCTGTTTTGGGTTGTTTCCGTGTAATATTGACATTGTATCTCTGCTTCCTTCTGTTTTTTAATTCCTTTTAATTAGAAGCCTGGAGTTGCAACAGTAAAACAACCAAGTAGGTTCTTCACTTACTAAAACGTTCCTTTGTTTTCGTTTCTACTGTGTAAGCCTTATAATTCCACTTTGATTAACAACCTACAGAACATAGAAAACTGCGATCTTTCTACAACGTTACAGCTGAGTTATTTTCGTAATTAAACAATGCTTATTAAAAGACATGCGCGTGCATCTTTTCATTAAAACTATATAAGCCTTTGATTTTAAGTTTGACAGTTAAAAATTATAGAAATTAATTTCTTTGTGGTTTTCCTTTATTTTAGTTGCCCAAATACTTTTGTCTGCGACTATAGTTAGAGGCTTGATGAGTATAGTGATATTTCAAACAATGATAGAGTAATTTTCACGTAATGTAACTAATTTAATAAACGCTAAAAACCAGGTTTCGATACTCGTAGTGGACACACCACAGAAAACTCATTGTGTAGCTTTGTGCTTAACACCAAACAAATAAAATCTTAACAATATCAAATGACAATTACTTAAAACTAAGTTTCTCTAAAAACTCATACATGCAATTACGTTAGAAAACACTCTTAAATGTGTGTTTTTTATAATTACGTTAGAAAACACTCTTAACTGTGTGTTTTATAATTACGTTAGAAAACACTCTTAACTGTGTGTTTTTATAGTTACGTTAGAAAACACTTTTAACTGTGTGTTTTTATAATTACGTTAGAAAACACTCTTAACTGTGTGTTTTTATAATTACGTTAGAAAACACTCTTAACTGTGTGTTTTTATAATTACGTTAGAAAACACTCTTAACAATGTTTTTATAATTACGTTCAAAAACACTCTTAACAATGTTTTTATAATTACGTTAGAAAACACTCTTAACTGTGTGCTTTTATAATTACGTTAGAAAACACTGTTAACTGTGTGTTTTTTAAAATTACTTTAGAAAACACTCTTAAATATGTGTTTTTTATAATTAAAAAATCTAAAATTGCACAGACCTCTTAACGATAAAAATGTCTTAATAATTTATACATAATTACTTTAGTAAAAATTCCATAGAGATTTTTTAACTTCTTTAGCAAATAAGTGATATTAAAAAACAACAACTATATTTCTACAGTTACGGTATGGCAACCAACAATTTCTTTAACCAGATATACGTATGATATGTTTGGAAATGTACCACCTCCAAACTGGCCGTAATTTATCATTTGAAAGTCTACCAATACTATTTAAAGTATCTAGTAAGTTCTGTGTTCTCTAGTCAAGAGGCCCATAGGGAGTTTTAAGGTTCTAATTAGTTCAGAGTCCTTTGTTTCTTCGGTTCCAAGAACTAATCCAATTCTGTTTTGAATTGTTTCCGTGTAATATTGACATTGTATCTCTGCTTCCTTCTGTTTTTTAATTCCTTTTAATGAGAAGCCTGGAGTTGCAACAGTAAAACAACCAAGTAGGTTCTTCAGTTACTAAAACGTTCCTTTGTTTTCGGTTCTAGTTGTAAGCCTTTTAGTTCCACTTTGATTAGCAACGTACAGAACATAGAAAACTACGATATTTTTACAACGTTACAGCTGAGTTATTTTCGTATTTAAACAATGCTTATTAAAATACATGCGCGTGTACCGTTTCATTAAAACTATATAAGCCTTTGATTTTAAGTTTAAAAAATATCTTTACAATTTCACAGATTTTGTAATAATGGGATATAAGTTCAGAAATTTAGATTTCCCTGTCCAGTGGCTCAGAAACAGAGGGGGAGGGTGGGCAAGCTATAGTCCTCACTATAGTAATCAAGCTGGAACGGCAGCGGTCACCCTCAGCTAAAGGAATTCCTTTAGAACCAAAGTAACAACGAAATTACCATTTACAAATTATAAATTTTTATTCTTCAAAATTTTCAGAAAAAAATGTATATTGTGTAGTGTCACCAGTTTTTCACTTATTAATTAAAAACATTCCCATTATATGTAAACGATATCTAAAAATGTTCAGGTTCGTCGCTGCCCTTGACAAAAACAAGTTCCACGCCACAAGTTGTATCCTTCATTATCCTTTAACTGCCTAATGTAATCCTCCTTAATAAGGGTCACAATCCTATTTCTCTTATCTGGCTCAGTAATAACAAGAATCATATTATTTCCCAATCTAACAATTGTTCTAATATCAGCGTTAGATAAACTCCAAAATGTTCTACAACATCGATAAAATAAAATTCCAAGCTTTACTGAATTTGAAGTACTTATCGGGTTGGAAAATAGCATAGGTCTTGTCATTAATAAGTCAGATAAGAGAAATAGTATTGTTATTCTTCAAGAGGAGGAGTCCCTCTGTGTCTCGATAAATCTGAGGGCTTGTAACGCTAAAAATCGGGCTTCGATACCCGTATTGGGCAAAGCACAGACCGCCCATTGTTTACTCCTGCGATTAACAGCAAACAAATAAGAGTATGGTTACACTTGAAGATGGTTAGCAACTAATTTACGACAATTAGATCCTTCTGTTAGTAAAAAAAGTGAAACTATGGTCTATCCCGCTTATCAAGTGTTCATTGCTTTTGTAACAGATTGAATACATGTTACATCGATATTTATTGCAAACAATTTGGGGTTTATAACATTTTTTTAAACATATTATTATTATTATAATCTAAGTACCCGACTGGATTGCTATTCTACATTGTAATCATGTGTTAAAACAATATATTGATCAGGTTTTTCATTCAACGCTTTTCTCTTGTCTTAGGAAGCTCTTCTTGACGGAGAAATAGAAGATGGTGATAAGGAAAATCCCAGCAGGCCCTTCGGTAGTTACTGCTATCTTAACTGGTCCCACCCTGCTGTGAGAGAAGAGATGAATTGGGTACTTGAATTTTGGTTGAAACAAGGGGTGGACGGATTTTACTTGAAGTATTTGGAGAATCTTCAAGTTGTAGACCATAGTGAACTGTATTTTGTAATGAGCAAGTGGCGTCATCTACTGGACACTTACCACCAAGGAAATGATAAAAGGAAAGTGTTAATGGTCCCATTGGCGTTTGCGGAATCCTTGAAATCAGTTAAATCCCTCTACACGACTGAGATCCTTGGTCTCTGTGATCTGTTAGACGTGCAACTCCATATCGACATTAACCAAACGGAAGATTTAGAGAAGCAGCTATTTCAAGTTAATCAGTTACCCGCCAATCCATGGTTGAACTGGAACCTGGGAAGCAGCGAAACATCTCGTATAGCCACGAGACTAGACGATAACTATCTTCTCGGTGCTATAGTCTTCCTTCTTACACTACCAGGATCAGTTTCTCTCTTTTATGGAGATGAGATCAACTTGAAAGACTCAGTTGATGTACTTACTCAAAAGGTAATGGTTTAATTTACATCATAAAAACAAATGTTTGCATAAAGCACGAACATTTGACTGTTTTAGCTCGTAAGTAAATATTCTTTTAAGCTAAGAACAAAATCAGAACAGTGCTGTTTATTTTCAGTCAACGCCTCTATCAAAACAGATATCTAGATATCTACCGAATTATATTATCTTTTGTTCAAATACCCCAAATGAAACCAAACCTTAAGACCGCCCCAGATTTTAGAGAAATAACAATACTCCAACTCGTAAACTAAAGTCTCTCAGATTTCTTACATGCAATTCAGTGAAACAGATAGTAAAAGAAACAAGAAACACGTAACATCTTGCATCTAAAGCAAACAAGGAGAAACAGGAGCAACTATTGTGTAGAATAAATATCCGCAAAAGTCGAACCACACAGCGGTGTAGATACAAATGACTGACGAAGTTGGAATTTTAGTCCTAATACTTACGCAAATGGAGTAATATAATGGTGTAATAAGATGACAGGTTAATATGCAGCAGATAGTAGCCTATAATAAGATGACAGGTTAATATGCAGCAGATAGTAGCCTATAATAAGATGACAGGTTAATATGCAGCAGATAGTAGCCTATAATAAGATGACAGGTTAATATGCAGCAGATAGTAGCCTATGGCAGATACTTTTGTTCTTATATTTATTCAAATTGATAGTTGTTTCTATTATATTTATATTCTCTTTCATTGTGCACAACTTCCTTGCCACAACTGAACGCAGACGATAAATGTTAATTTAAATGTACTCTTAATTTTAAAATCATAATTTCATCCTACTAGAGAAGCTGGTCAACATAAGTTAACAGACGTAAGTGGTGTATTCCCATAGCTGTGTCGATTCGACTTGTTCGGATTGATTTTCCTTCGTGGATACATTATGTATCAACCCAGTTCTTTCGTTAATACACTAGTGTCTCCTACAGTCTGTTTTACACGAGAGACACTACTTGGTTTTGGCTGAAATTGTAAATCATATCAGACATGGATATACTCATTTTCCTTTTATGTACATATAACCAAGTTCATCATGTATATATATATATATATATATACATACAGAATAGTATATT